GTTTATGAGCTGGGGTTGCGATTCACCGCATACACTTTGCTGCTCATGACTTGGGCGAGCCTTCGCTGTGATGATGTGCAGAACATCGACCCTGAGAGCCTCAAGCTCAGCCAGGTCGGTCTTCGTTTTATTCTGAAGAAAACGAAAACAAGTGGGCCGGGGCGGAAGGTTGGAGAGCTGCATGCATTCATTGCTAGGACCGTCGGCTTGAGTGGTTACGACTGGCTTGGTGAGGGTTTCAAGCTTGTGAGTGCTGGCGCTTTGTCATGGTCACGCGATTTCTTTTGCCCTGCCTTCAGTGCGGAGTGGGACGTGCCTGCCAAGGGTTATATGGATGCTGAAGGTCTTGCATTGCAATTGCGTCGGCTCCTCAAGCATTTGCCTACACCGGTTCGACAGCAGGGTGTCTGGAAGGTTGCGCGCGAGCTGCTTTTCCCAGGGGAGATGGCAAACTTCTGGACAGGGCACAGCGCGCGGCATGTTGCCACCAGTCTTGCTGCTGCATTAGGCGTGAGCAAGGACCGGCGGGACTATCTTGGGCGCTGGGCTTACGCTCAGCACGGATCACAAGATTATGTTTTGACATCGAGGCAAGTGGTGCAAGGGGTGCAGAATTTCATTTGCAAGTGCCTCATCGTGGGGCACCCAGATGGCGGGTATACCGAGGAAGAGTTGTTCTGCACCATGCGATCATATGCTGAAGCGTTGCATCTTGCCGGGGATGAAATTGTTAACGCTTGCTCTGTCCTGCAGTGGGACGACGTGGGAGCGACTTGGAAGCTCGGGGGAAATTTCCCCTCGTTCAATGTTTCCCCAGACAGGGTTAGGGCTGCAGCTGGCAACATGAGTGCCGATCTGCCTGGGCCTTACCAAGACTTCGAACAAGAGGAGGACAGGGATGATGCACCCTATTTCATCACGATTTCGAGAAAGGGTTTTCGCCGCCTGCATCTTTCAAAGAAGTGTGCTGTGAGGCGCGAGAATTGCTTGGAGACACTCCCGATTTTCAAGTTGTCAGAAGGCATCGCTGACGCTGTTTGCAAATTGTGCAAGCCCAAGGTTGAGCGTGCCGAAGACTCGTCCACTAGTGGATCTGAGGACACTCAGGTGGAAAATCCGGTGGAACCGGAGGAGCCCGAAGGGTTGATTCCGAATTTTGTTGGCTGAGTGATCGTGGAGCTTTCGTGGGTAAAACAAGGGATCGTTCGCATGTTTGCGACAGCTGCCGGTGGAGTGCAGCATGAGAGTGAAGAGTTAAGCTGCTGGTGGAGTGCAGCTGAAGAGGGGATGCCGGTGGAGCGCATCAGAAGCTGAAACGATTGATCCGTGTATCGTTGCATGCTCAAGGGAGTTGTGATGCAAAGTTTCCTCTTGAAGGTCGAGGAGCTTAGCGTTCACAGAGCATTTGTTTTGACCTGGGAGGATCACATTGAGTGCTTAGGCCTTTTGCAAACACTGTCACACGTGTTCTTAAGGACCCCAGCGCGCTCGTGCGAACATGGCGACCGACCTGCCGGCCGGTGTGGACCAGGCAGCAGCCTTGAGTCATCTGGATAAGAATGTGAGCTCCGACTTGGTGCATATCTTTCAAGAATGTGGTGTGCCGTTGGGGCTGCAGTACCGGCTCACATTGAATTTCCAATCTGTCAAGCGGTTTTCTACATATGCTGATTCCCGGGCGGATGTGCGGACTGCTCTGAAGGATGATCATGGTTTAGAGGCGGCGGACCAGGCGACCCGGGCAGCTGTGGCCTCCGTGGTCTCCGCTTGGGAGACTGCGAAAGAATATGCAAGCAAGGAGTCTGAATTGCGGGCTGAGGCTCGCATGCTGGGCGTCAGCCGACCAGTATCGCAAACAGAGAAGCAAGCGATGCGTGCAGCGTATGAGGCTGCGCACGGCAGCCTCGAAGAAGCATTCGAGCCCTCTGATGATTATATATCGGCGAAGTTAGAAGAGATTGAGAATGGGGAGATTTCTGCAAGTGCTTTGTCAGAGGTTACTTCGAAGAAGCGTGTGAGGACAATGGGGATACAGACTACTGTTGACACTGGGGGCCACGTGCGGATAGTGAAGCAGAGAAACAAGGGTGTGATGCCACAGCACACCGAGGAGCTGCGCACAGTACTGCGAGTGGAGGGCAATGCTTGGACCATGCTTGCTTCTAAGTTCAAGAACAAGGTTTTCTTTGCAGACATGTCTCCAGACGCATGGTTGGCATACGCGAATTACCTTTTGGGCGAGAAAGTATATCTAATGCAAGTCCCAGCAGGTGGCAAGGGGGGCAAGATGGATCAGGCCCCGCTTCGGCCGCCATGGGTGGTGGTTCTCAATTATGAATATGAACTTCGGAAGGAAGCCATAAAGAGGGCATATCGAGACTCGCGGCCGCTCCGCGATACCCTGCGGGAAGTCACTGAAGATGCTCAGATCAAAGAACAATATTTTACATCGCCCATCGCCCTACAGAACCGGGGCAAGCGTGCTAGCGATTCTTGGGAACCTTGGGATGATGGCAACTACAACAAGTGGAATCGGAACTCATGGAAAGGCGGCTGGCAGCACAGAGGCGACAATGACAAAGGAAGGAAAGGAAGGAAAGGAAAGGAGGATGGAAAGAAAGGGAAGGATGGAAAGGATGGAAAGGATGGAAAGGGAGGAAAGGGGCAGAGCGTCACCTCTTCGAGGACTCCTGATGGCCGTTTCATCTGCTTTGCCTACTCTGGACCTGGGTGTGATGGCAACTGTGGGATGGTTCATTGCTGTCAGGTGAAGGGCTGCTTTGGGCCCCATCCTACATGGAAGCATTGGCAGCAGCAGCATGAGAGCAAGAGCAGCGAGGCGAAGAACTGACTAAGCGTTTTGGTCTTATCCGATCGAGGAAACTTTGACATCGTGCATGAGTGTTTAAAGGAATGCGCAACGCGTGCGGGGATCCAGCTCAAGGTTGATCACCTGTGCGAGGACGGCAAACTTGGCAGCTGGACCGATCCCGTGGCTTGGGCTGCGATCTTCGATAAGGTTGCTGAAGAATGCTGGCAAGGTTTCATGTTATTCCCACCATGTGGCACGTTCAGCCGTGCACGTCATCACAGCAATGCTTCACGCAACGGGCCCCGTCCTCTCAGGGGCAGGAATTTTCCGCATGGTTTCCCATGGCTTGCAAAGCAATCTCTTGAGGCTGTGCGACGTGAGGATTTTATCATTCTTCAGTGTTTAAAGTTGATTCGACAAGCTTCTGAGACTGGGCTAGGATGGGTTTTAGTGCATCCCGAGGATTTAGGCAAGCTCAGGTCCCTGGAGGACCCGGCCAGCATTTGGCAATGGTCGGAGCGCAGGTCAGTGTTAGAGGATACATCGTGCGGGGCCACTTGGGCTGTGCATCTGTGTGCATATGGAGCTGATGCGGCTCACCCGACAAGGGTGGCAACGAACGTTTCGCCCGGGCCCTACAAACTTCAGTGGCCCACCTTTGATGAATCAGGATATTACACAGGTCCATTGGGTCGATGTCCGCATGTGCATGAAAACAAGGTAGGGCGTCAGGGTTCGGACTGGGCCACCAGTTCAGCCCTGCCTTCGGCTTTCGCCGAGGAGATAGCGAACATGCTGCTTTGCTCAACTTGTGATCATCGCTCAACTGATGGATCATTCCAAGGTGCCGAAGCTTTTGCTGATTTTCTTTTGACAAAACATGACACGATCAGTTTGCATGATGCCGAAGCTTTGTTTAAGTTGCTGCCGCTGGAAGCGGCGCATCCTGCTGTGCAAATGCCTAGCGATGCAGGTGACCAAGCATTCTTCGGGGGGGCTTTCCGCAAAGGCCCCTTTAAAGGACTACGGAGAAGCTGCACTGCCTTCCCAAAGTCTCTGCAATGCTTCACCCGACTTCTGCGGGCGCACTTTCCGGGAGATGTGTTCAGTTCCATTGGTGTTTTCTTGAATGTGCAGGCTGAGATGCATAAAGATTCCCGAAATGGTCCGTTCCCCAACTTGCTGCTGGCGCTCTCAAGCTTTACTGATGGACAGGTCTGGACCGAAGATGCTGCCGGGACCATCTTCCGGGAGGTGCGTGGTGTTTTCAAGCCAGGTCGTTTCCTCCCGGTCGCCGAATCTCCACAAAGACTGATGGCACACCAATGTTATCATCAAACCGAGCCATGGACAGGAGAACGACTGCTTCTTGTGGGTTTTACCATCTCCGAGCCGTTGCAACTTGAATCCTCACACCTTGCCACACTGCGCGACTTAGGCTTTGTCTTGCCGACTTCCTCTCACCTAAAGGGGGGGGATGCACTCGACGAAGACGGGCAAGACCGATCTGTTGCTGCATCTACGCCTTCGGAACCTCCTCTTAGCACCCCCCGAGATGCAGCCGCATCCGGGGCCCCGACCGACCTTAGCACCCCCTCGGGAGGGCCCACCCGAGTGGCCCACGGTAGCACCCCGGCGGAGGGGCCCACTCCGTCGGCTTCTCCCAGTGACCTGTCTACACTTGAGCAAACTCTTTAGGAAGGCGAGGAGGAGGCCGACGACTCTAGAGACTTTGACCCAACTACATCACGATGCCGGGGCCCGCCAATCAGATGCCGGCACACTCGTGAGTGGCGAGAATTGGTTGATGGGTTTGGGTTATGCTCACCGGGCCGCTGGCGTCCCTTGGCCAGGAATGCTTTGGCAAGCGCTGGAGAATGGGATCATGCTGGCAACATTCGAAAGGTTCTTGCAGAGGCGGTTCACCAGGCTATTCCTGATCTGAGGAAGGCTGCCTTCGCTCTTGCAACAGGCCGTCTGATCAAGTCGCCGTTCAGCGAAAAGCTGATCCATGATGTGAGGGCTCGAGTGGCTGCGACTTTACCTGATCCTGAGCAGGCATTGTGCAAACCTGATGGGCAGCCCTTCATGCTGCATATGCTTTCGCAGTCACTCAAGATCTTGGGTGACCCGGACTACGAGATACTTGATCAGGGCAACGAGAGCTTCGCTGAAGGGGTACCCCTGGGTTGGGACAAGCCGATTGCACGGACGCCACAGGTCTTTCCAAAGCGCACTCATTTCAGGAAGCTCGACGAGAGCGACTTTGACCCTTCAATGGTCAACTATCGCTCAGCGGAGTTGAATGCCGCACAGCTTGAAGAAAAGTTCAGGCAAGATGAGCAGGCCGGAATGATGTTGTGTACTACTGAACCGGAGGCTCGGCGGAAGTACGGCTCCGAGGCTGTGCTCATCGCTGCGATGGGTGCGGTGACTAAGGCAAACGGTGATGTCAGACCATTGCATGACGGAACACACGGCATCAACTTAAACAACAGTATTGTCATCTTGGACAAACTACAGGTCCCGAGACCGGAGGACTTGCAGGAGGTGGCTTCGAGGGTGAAAGAGAGCAAAGAAGCACCTTTCTCTCTATGCGCAGACATCAGCCACGCGCATCGCAATGTGAAGGTGCGAGAATGCGACTGGCCACGTTTGGCATGCAAGTCGTCCAGTGCATCACGCGTCTTATGGCTCAACAAGGTTGGGACTTTTGGCGTGAGTTCCGCCGCCTACTACTGGACGCGCTTGTTTGGCACAGTAGGGCGGTGGGCCTTTCGCGTTTTGCACTCGGACAAGTTTTACATGCTAGTGTACGTTGACGATCTACATGTTGTGGTGTACGGCAGTGACAAATTTGAAACCCTTTGGATTCTTTTCCTTGCACTGGAAGTTATGGGCACACCTTTTTCTTTCCATAAGTTTAAAGGGGGTGTGAATGTCGATTACATCGGGTATCATCTTTGCTACTACACTTGGTCTGCGGGCATTTCAGAGAAGCGAGCAACTTGGATCATTGAATGGATCAACCAGGCTGAGCAAGCACAGTGGATGGTGACAGGGCGTCAGCTCACCGAATTCATCGGGCGCTTGAATTTCGTGACCCGTCTACTTGCGTGGTTGAAACCTTTCTTGGCACCGCTCTTTGCTTGGAGTGCCGCGCTCAACCGTAGCACAGCTGCTACTGCACCAGAGATGGTAATCCACGTGTTGCGGTTTTATCATTGGCAGTTCTTGAATGGCGCCCGCCTGGACACGGTGCACATGAGCTGGCCTTCTTGTGACCGACAGGCTTTCAGGACAGACGCCAAGTGCGAGACCGGCCGGATCGTGCTGGGTGGATGGTCGCTGGAAAATGGGCTAAACACTCAGCAAGCTTCGTGGTTCGCGCTAGAGATTTCACCAACTGAGCTGCCGGCCCTGTTTAAAGAAGGGCACTCTTCCGAATGGGCTTCAACTACTGCTGAGCTTCTTGCGTCTTACGCGGGCCTCGTGGCGTTCGGACACCTTGTGCCAGCAGGGGGAAGGGACTCACTTCGCTTTCAGGTTCACGCCGGGACAGACAACTCGGCCACTCCTGCGGTTCTGTCAAAGGGGATCAGCAACAAGTGGCCGGTGCAAGGGTTGCATATGCAGATGGCGGTCTCACTAAGGAAGGCCAACAAGGTGTGCCGGCTGACCTGGCGACCGCGCGAAGAAAATCAGGACGCAGATGATCTTACGAACCTTCGTTTTGGAAATTTTGATCATAGCCTTAGGGTTCCCCTTAAGTTGGCCGACATACCACTTGAGTTGTTTCATATGCTGCATCAGTCACATGCCGATTTCATTGCAGAGAAGGATCGCTTCCTCAGCTTGAAGCGGGTTGAGCCGAAAACCTCAAAGAGGCAGAAGCTTTTGGACAAGACGAGCTGGTGAGTGTGTCGGGCTTCCGTTGCAGCGGGTTCTACTAAAGAGGGGGCAACCGAACTGGCTGCACCGGCAGCCTTCAGTAGGCCGTAAGAGCCTCGGTGCTCCCTGCAGCCTGTAGGCATAGAGTTGGCGAACC